TCGTATTTGTATGATCCATTTACGGATACTTTTCAATAACTTAGAATTTCACCCTGTTCCATAATTTATGATACACCACTGTGTATTTGCTGCATATCAGTGGAGTGCTCATTCACAAACATTAAAACAGAACAGCACAGAGAGAGAGAGAGAGAGAGAGAGAGAGTGAGTGAGTGAGTGAGGGAGGGAAGAAAAAAGATCAGATCTCCAGATAATTTATATTATAGCCATAGAACTGAATAAGGTGATAGATAGGACTTATAGTAGCCATTAAAAAGATTAGAAGGAAAAAGAAAGAAAAAATCTACTCCGTACAGAAACCACGCACACGGCAAACTGGGCTGAATTGCCCCCACTGACCACCCGCCACAGGAGATTGGCTAGGCTACGCCACAGTGAAGGCTCCAAACCGATGTTAATAATACCTGTACTCTTGCCCTCCGTATTAAGTTTTCTTTTTCTTTGTCCTTTCTACCTGGTGTATAAGAGAGTACAAACATAGAGCAAGAGTCTGGAATGCTGCTGCTTCTCTTAATCCACACTCTACGACAGAGTCGATGGACATGATCATCTTCATAGATGTAGTTCTCATATTCATTTATTCGTCATTCCCTTCTCTTTCAGAACTAAATTAGAAGGGGATGCCGAACGGATTGAGTGGGGAAAAGGCTGGAGCCTGGAACACCAAGCAATCAATCTGCGTCGGTCGGCTAGCATGTGGCAGATTAGCTTCTGAGGCACTCCATATGGATGTGTGCTACTACTCAGTAAGCACTGGCTTGTACTGTGTATTGAGCAACCCCCACTACTCACCTAGTTGTATCTCCCTAGGGTGTACGGAGTACGGAGTACTAGACTACTAGTTATAGACGGCTCGTAATGAAATGTACATCGCAGAGCTCTCAAACCGGTTCCCTATTTCTTTTCTTGCGCTCTTGGACAGTTCTGTCCCCTCGCTGGGGTACCGAGCGTTGCGGTGGTTACCTGCATCCTGCAGCCCTGTGAATCTCACACAACATACGAGGCTATAAGAACACGGGCCAAAACACTATATAGTTTAGTACCGAATCTTACTGTAAATGTTTGTAGTGTCGACTAAATTCGCTACCAGTACTACAAAACTAATGATGAAGGTGGTAGTAGCCGCCATCTATCATTGAATATAAGGATCATAGAAGATCCCACAAGAACAACTCTCCTAGGCACGAACTGTCACTTGCTCGTTGATCTAGAGATAAGAGTCTAGTTTTGGGGTTCAACCCCACCTGTATTAGGTCCAAGAACTTGATAGACAGTTATTGCACATCAACCAAGTGAACTTGGTGTAATGCGGCTGTTTCATCCTCCTGTATGGTATATGTGGATAGGGGGCACCTATGTAGGTATAGTAAACTCATTTCACAGTCAATTCAAAGTACTGGCCGAACACCAACTCGCATTGTCCTACTATTGAAACAATGCCAGAAAGTGAGAAACACTATGTAGAAAAACATTATAGCTTATACAGTTCACCTATTCAAGCAAGGTTAATAGCACTGTTGTTGCACACGCTGGGTTTTCGATTCAGAGACAGCAGAAATAGTCGCCACCCACTCTGACAGCCTTAGCAAGCTTCCTGCACGGGAATAGCTGAATGGAAGGTGGCAACAGCTTTCAAATATTCCTGACCCGTCAGGTATCCACTTCACTCAATTTGGAACATGGGACATTATCGTCGATGGGTAACTGAAATGTTTCCGTCCCGACGGTGGCTGTCATGGTAGAAATACCTGAGATACAGAGCAATGGCGGTAATTCAACAACTCCATACACCTATTTGTATCTGTGGAATAGGAAATACGCCAAACAAAGATAAGAACGGTGATGTTTCTGTTCGAATGAGACACAAGGAGAACCCACCGATTTGATCTCGCCCAGAATATCAATCATGCTGGAATATATCCAGGGTGTAAGCTGGCGCTACAGACGACAATATGTCGCAATAAGAATGAGGCTACCCAAGATTCAAATGAGTAGGGCAGGGAGGCTGTAATGGACATTCATTTACGTCCTTGCTTCTCTTGCATTTCCCGCATTGCAGCTCTAGCACTCCGGCTGCCTCCCAGCTTGGGACCCCGCGGTGCCTCAGTTTTCGCGGTCTTGGGATTTTTCACTCGCGTCACCCGACGACGTGACTGAATGGCATCAAGGAAGTCTCTTCGGAACTGTTCGGCGACTCTGTCATCAGCAGCTTGGTCGTCTCCTCCTGCCGCTGCTTCATATTCTGGTTCCTCGTATACATCCACTACAAGAAATAGTATTTTCTTTGTTAGAGCTTGGACATGCCTCAAAGTATTATGGGAAGTGTTGAAGAGCTTACGTTTGCTTTCGCGCAGAACTTCTTCGACGAGTCTGTCTCTTTCAATATCCTCACTGGTTCGTCGTTTCTGACGACGCCATAGTCTCTCGTCCTTTCCCACAGGGGCTGCTTTGAAGAGAGAGTCGTCATGTTTGAGATGCTCATATTCATCGTCTCCTGCTAACTTTCTTGTCGCTGCCTCTGTACGTGCGATATTCTGTAGCTTGGTCTCCTGGCCAAGATCGATCTCGTGTAGTTTACCTAAAGACGCTGGTTCACGTTGAGGAGGGTCGGTTGCGGGCCGGGCAGCACCAGTTTCGCCCACCAAAGAACGATCTGGATCATCTGCCGGGAAAGTGTGCCGGTGTCGCTTAGCCATTTCGGTCTCTATATAAGCCATCCTTATCTTGTTAGTCTCCATTGCAGACAATACGAGCCATAGAATAGGATATGATGTAAGATCGTACATATGTTTGTCAACATCCACCGTCTGTCCAGTATGTGCTGTAAATCGGTCACACATAGCTTGGATTCTCTGCGCCTCGAGATCTTCTACTGATTCCGTAGATACAGCAGCTCGCTTATCATTGTCTGCCGACTGTCGTGAGGTTGTAGAAAATTCAATGCCACCCTTGCGAAAGCGATGAAGACGCCGCAGACGAACAAGATCAGTAGGGTGCACGGTATCATTGTCTGCTTGGGACTGAGGGGTGGTGGGATTTGGGTCACGGTCATCCCTTCGATTTTCAATGCGAAAATCGTCTAGCGTGTCCTCAGGACGACGTCGCAAGAACTTTCTTTTCTTCACCGGTCGGAAGAGAGTCTCCGGAATCGAGGCAGTATCAGTGTCCATCATCGTTGTGATTTGGTGTATGACATCTACCTAGGACATTAGCAGCCAAGTGGATAGAAAAGAGAGTATAAGTATAATATGGGTCCTCCGCTATGGAAATGTACGCATAAGAGAAGCAAATCTGAATCGTTCGTAGTTGTGGGGATACGACCTAGTGGCAGCAGTATGTAGGTGATGAAGCACGCCCACCCAACCCAAGCCTTTTAAGTTTGGTTCCCGCACCGCAAAACACACCCACCCTCTATAAATCACCTCCATCACCACCCACGCTTTTGGCCGCACTGTTCACAGAGCTGCCTCGCTGGCCTTTGTCAGGACTATATTCCCTTCACTAGCTGTCATCTGGGTAATTTTTGCTACCGCTCGAATTGCGGTGCTTCTCTTTTGATTCCGCCATGAACCCATCCATTCCACCTTCGACTGCTGAATACGGTGGAGGTATGTCGTCTCTCGAAAATGCGTCGCGCAGTGGAAAGCTTTCCTATGTGCAAAACACAACATAGACTACGTCTTTTCAGAGCAGAGTAGGAACTGACAGCTCATTACGTACAGATGAGGTTTCGGCTATAGTACTTGATCCTGGGTTTTCGACAACGCGCGCCGGCTTTGCAGGCGAAGACACGCCAAAATCCCTGATTCCAACATACTATGGAAAATACACCTCCAACGGACAAGAAAGGCTGATTTTCAGTGATGACGTCTTTGTTACCCCGCGACCTAGCTTGTCCGTCCATAACCCAATGGGCCGAGATGGAATTGTGGAGGATTGGGACATGGCAGAGAAAGTGTGGGAGTATTCTTTTACATCGCGACTCACAGGTCCTAGGCCGGGAAATCCATTCCAAAATGGTTTGAATGATATTGCCGATGGAGAGCTTCCCACAGAGATGGAGGGGGTGGAAGCTGAGGAGAAGCCTCTCGCAGACAGTCCGCTCTTGATGTCAGAGTGTGGCTGGAACCCTACAAAAGCCCGTGAAAAGACCATCGAGATCGCTATGGAAAAATGGGGAACGCCGGCTTTCTATTTGGCAAGAAACGGCGTTCTGGCAGCGTATGTACCCCCCCTTCCCCTTCATCCTAAGCCGTCCGGCATACTGCTGCTCACACTTTAGTCCTCCTTCAGCTTCGCAGCCGGGAAAGCTTCTGCCCTTGTTGTTGATGTCGGTGCTTCCAATATCTCCATAACCCCAGTGCACGATGGAATGATTTTAAAACGTGGGGTTCAGCATTCCCCCCTAGGCGGCGACTACATCTCATCGCAAATCCGCGCTCTGTTTAAGACAAACACACCGCAACCTATTACCATCACCCCTCACTACCTGATTTCCTCAAAAACTGCTGTCGATGCAGGTCAACCCTCGCAGGCAAAGTACAAGACTTTCCCACCTGAAAAGGCACCGGACGGTTCGTACCGTACCCTGCTCGAAGAGCGAACCCTTTCCGAGTTCAAAGAGTGCGTGGTCCAGGTGTGGCCTGGACCCAACAAGCTCTCCGCAACGGGTCCGAACGGGGTCTCAAACGAGGAAGTCGCTAAAAGCAATCCTGGACGGCCATTCGAGTTCCCAGACGGTTACAACCAAGTATTCGGTCTTGATCGCTATAGAGTGGTGGAGTCCTTGTTTGATGCAAAAGCTGCGATCCCAGACCCGGAGTCGCCATTCCCGGCTCCAACACAGGCTCAGACTGTGCCTGAGTTGATCAAAAATGCACTCAACGGGGTTGACGTTGACATTCGCCCACATTTATTAGCTAATGTCGTCGTAACGGGTGCATCCAGTTTACTTCATGGTTTCACCGACCGCCTCAACCAAGAACTTATGCAGACTTACCCGGGACCGCGGGTCAGGATCTCCGCGCCAGGAAACACGGCCGAGCGAAAATTCGGGTCTTGGATTGGCGGAAGTATCCTTGCTAGCTTGGGGACCTTCCATCAAATGTGGATTTCGAAGAAGGAATACGAAGAACATGGCTCGACTATCGTCGAGAAGCGCTGCAAGTAATATTCTGCTTCTCCCATATTATGCCCGCACGAGATGTGGTTCGCTAGTTGGACTTTTGTGGTTTGGTGATTTGATTTCTTCTCGTCTCTAATCTGATTTTCATCTTCTTTGTTCTTTCTAGGCGTTCTTGTACTACTTTGATGGGTTGAGAAAAGACTTTTTCCATAGGACTATGATTGGAAAAGCAGCCGAATTTCTCTGTTGTTCTTTATCACATAGCTGTACGGGTATCGCCCAATAACGCAGTGTGCGGTTTGCGTCATTCTACGCTCTAACAGTCATTGGCCGCAAGACATCTGAAGCTGACTGCTCATTAATATCAAGTATATACTAAATTTGCCAATGAAAGAAAGAAATAAATAAATAAATGAAGTATCTCATCCCTTTCAGAACGAACAGCATGTTATAGAATGGTCACTTTGACAGTGCATTTCCTTTTAAGCCGTGCTCAGTTCCTCCGGTGGTTGGCGTGAGAGGCCAGCTTCTGCAATGACAGGTATTCGCACTCATGCCGTTTACCTATGTAGATGGTACAGAAGGTAGAGCCGTTACGGTTGACTGCGTGTCTGTCTTTGTTATATCGTTATCGTGATGATTGCTGACGCAACATCCTTCCTCCCCCGACAGTGTCATATGGACGGAAACAACGTGGATTCTAGGTGCAACATCACGTCTTGGGTTTAGTAAATATGTATTCTGTGATGGATATTCCTGTAACCAGGACAGTGATCTCTCCAAGTCACTGTCAAAAAGCTTTGTTTGAAGTTCTGTGGACGTATCATGTGTTGCTGGTGTCGCACGAAACTTGCTGCAAGGCTCATCCTTCCTTCTCTGCGGAGAATGATGGACGGCGCTCTCTTTCTGAATTGTGCCTTCCCAAGCGTCAATCACCCTATCGGACTTGAAATGATGCAAGAACTGGGTTAACATAGTTTCTCGTTTCGCTGATGCTTGGGCAGTATAAGGCCGGCTTGGCGGCGGTACAGGTGGTGGCCCTACTATATCTTGCTGCTCGTACTGCTGGCCTTTCTTCAGTCTCCAGAAGCCCTTTAACTGTTCCAGGGAAATGCTCCGAGACCTCAAACCCTTACAAGGAGCTGTAGCGGGTCGTGATTGTTTTAATCCAGTATTTTCACCTTCAAGCTTCTTACTGGTAGGTATAGCCCTTGAGAATCTCCTACTCAAGTTCCTTTGAATTCTCGGCACGAGCGTGGCTGGACTAGAGCCATCAGCGACAACATTCACACATTCCGCTCCACCTGGAATAGTGGTATGCTCTCGAAGATTCGGGGCACTCTTTCGCGTGACCCTGCGGCGTTCAACCTGCTTAGATATAGGTGCCTCGGGCCGGGCGTTTACTACATCTGGTAAAAATGGATCACTGGGCAATGGCTTTTCTAAGCTCGAGAGTTCTGGGAGCATGGTGGATTCATGCTTCTCGAATAATCGTTCTCTGATTGGCCTGTCTCGAGGCAGTGCAGTCGCAATCCGTACCAAGGACACCTGCTCTTTGTCAGGAATCTAACTCAGCTATGAGAAGGGGGAGGTGGAAGAATGGTCAGTCTTGTACTTACCGCCTCTTTTCTGCTCGCTACACCTACACGCCTTTGCAATTCGGTGATCGCCAGGCAGAGCTGGGACAATGCGGATTGGAGTGCAAACCCTTTACGGCGGAGTTTCGAGAAGGCTACATTCCAACCCTCCGTATTTGCTAGCATGGCTTTGTGAGTGGCGAACAAGTTACTAGGCAGTGGTCCATGCTCTTCTGCAGACTGTTTCAAATATCGCCACAAAACCCCAATCGCTTCCTTTCCCTTCTGCATATCTTTCAGTGCGTCTTCAATGGCGGTAGTGAATCGTTCGATGGCATGTTCGATTTTTTGATTATAGTCAATCATGGTTAGGCGGAAGTTGCGGTCTTGTAACATCCCATCAAAAGCCTCTAGGTTCTGAAGGGGAAGATTAAGGTATTGAATTCGTGTGCGCACATCAACCTGAATTAGAAGGAAGTCTTCTGTAGTTCTTCCAAGAAATCCATCTAACTCATCTACATGACTTTGAAGGATCCTCAAAACTTCAAAGTCTGACTTAGCGAGGCTCTTAACTAGAAGGTGAATGCCGAAGGACATTTGAGCGACAAGCTTCCAAAACGGATGATACCTAATATCGGTCAGTTTGTACGTTTATCAGAAAACAAGGGGTTGTGCTTTATGAAGGCGTGTTGATTTCTTACCTTTCTCCGAGCCCTTGGCGCCATTTCCGTCCACACAGTCGTTGATATTCGATGCTCTCTAGCAGGTCTCTACGCCGGGATTGTGCATCAAGCCCAACCAACCGTTCACTTTTAGTGCCTTCGTAGGCTTCAACAATTGATTCCTCGAAAGGTCCTTGTAGTTGGGGAATTGGATGGATCGGTGCTCGACTAATGTCTTTGCTATAGTCTGACTTATGTTTTGCCCTTATATCTGCATCGGTGGCGGTAGTCCGTTGCTGTTGAGATTTGGAAATGAGAGCCATGAATGCTAAGGTAGCCTCCAGCAGAGACTCCACGGGCACGATTAGCCGCCAAGCTCTTTATTCTTTCCGGTCGTATTCTGGCGTGGGTGGGCTCCGGGAAATTTGTGTGTTTCTATCTGCACATGATACCACAAGCAGCACACTGAGCCACTTCTCTATTGGGTGAAAGACCGGATTTTCCATGCCATATTCACACATTCAAGCTCCAGGGCGCTTTACAGTCGCAAAAGAAGGTGTTTTCATGACCAGAAACAATCTTAAAAGGGGAAGAAAAGAAGAGAGAGCAGACGCCAGGGATTGTATAAAAGCAACCGGGGTCACTGAGTGCAATTAATCCAAGTAAGCGATATATATAGGCCCTGGTAATACACCTCGCCAGCTAGGAGCTGGGTGCAAATCAACTTTCTCCGCGGATTCCTCAGACGTATGTAATGTGAGGTGTGACGAACACAGTGAGTTGGAGAGTATTGAACTAATGCATGATAATACTAGTATATAGTACTTCGCCCGCGCAATAAGTAGGAAGTAGCAAGTCAAACAGCACAGGACAAGATAAAGATTGTGCTTTGAAATAGTGGCATTGGAGATCAAAGAATGAAGAGCAAAAAGGAGAAAATTAAATTAGATTATTAACCATGAATAGGTGGGGATTTAAAATAAAGAGGGTAATGTGCTGCCTGTGCAAGCCTGCCAGAGCTGTTCCTACAGGTGGGTAACGAGGTGGATTTCCAGGGGAAGGACCCAATCAAATGCCATGGCAATAATCTTTGGTACCACCTTTACTCCCTTTTCCTCCACTAGTAGACTGCTATACTCCGGAGTATATTTGATTTCATGGAATGCCAGACCAGGAGATCCATGGAGTAAACGTATAACCAGTTACTCCGTACTCTTGACTAATAAGGGTCAGCGGCAAATTGACATGAGAGCTTTTCTCTCTCCTTTCTTCCCCTCTCGTTTTTTACGGATGCGAAGGAGAAACCCCTACTATTATTAAACACTTATTATAACTAACATTTGCTCATTGCCATCACCATTTAAAAAGGCTCCGCTGGGTAAGAGTGATCCAGAGAGCTGGCGCGTAGTGACTAGGACTTCGAGACTTCGAGAGGGGCGGGAGAAGATTAAATATTGGATAGGTAGCGGTGATAAAAGAAACATAAATGTGTACCTACTTATAGTAATACTGCTATCTTTGCCTTATTACTTGAAAAGGGCCGATAAAGATTGACTGTAGACGACAAAAGGCGGAGCCACAACCTTGACCACATCATCACTGTTTATGAATTATCCATGATGCCAGAATATTTCTATATGTTAAATTCCCCACCTTAAGCTCAAAGATTGCCTCTGTGAAAATCATGAAGCAATATCTAATGGAAGTATTAATCGCCAGAACCCTGAGTAAGTCAATTAGTCCTCTTTCGACCTTTAATCCTGGGTTCCGACTCCCGACGCCGTATGCCCAAGAAGTGTTTGTTATTCAACTGCCGTCGACCCGCACTATGATTCGTGTTTGAACTGGGTGACTTGCCGACCGGGATCACCAATCATGGATGTCCGATAATTTTATGGACAGTGCATGGAGTAGAGACATTGGGATTCAACAGCAAGGGATTTGATGGCCTCTTTGAGATTTTGTCTAAGATAAGGCAGTGCAAAGAGAAGTCCGTACGTGGATAGGCAAACACAACCTGTCGCTGGGAAACATTGAAAACTCAAGGGAAGCCTCAGATCTAAGCGCTAATGACGATCGGCATTGCCTTTTATCCAAAAGTCTTTCCCGCGAATGAGAAATCGCAGAATGGTCCATCCGGCAAATCTCCCTAAGACAGGTACTATTGGTGCCACCCTTTCCACATCCTTTCCTTACAGAGCAGTAACATCACGTTCCTGTATGCTACTCGTCAGGGTAAGAAAACCGGGTCCCAGAAGTTTGTAGGTAACGACAAATCCAAAAAGTCACCAAAAAGCACGTCAATATCGGCGAGACCATCGGTCTCACAAACTTGCATATTATTTTCTGGAGGGTCTAGTGATCCCTGAGTTGGGGAAGCTTGCTTGGTAGCAGACAGGTCATTGAATGGATAGTCATCGCTCTGATAAGATGGGAGATGTAAGACAGGCTCAGCGCTTTGCGCGCTTGTAGAGTTAATGAGCATGTTGCCGGGCGCTGGCGGCTGGGTAGAAGCTTGGCTGGGTTTGTGAGAACCAAGATTTAACCCATCAATCTGGTGTAGGGCCTTTCGCCCTAACCGTGCCATTGCTTCTGCAGAACACCAGGAAATCCCTAGGGCTTCTAGAAGCGTACAGCAAGCTTCCAAGCTAGCTTTGGCACGATCAGAATGGGTGATAAGTTTGCTCGAGCGGAACTGTTGATACGACACGCCCATAGATAGTGTGAGCGCATACGGAACAATGGGAATTGCAGGGAGGTCCTGGGAGCATTCGGTAGCTACGATGGAGTGTATTCGAATAGCAGAAAGACCTTGCCGTATATACGAAGATTTGGAACCATCAGGGCGACCGGTCAATTTGTATCTGCATGAAAGAATGGCAACGGCGTGGTAGAAAAGCTCGAGGAAGCCTAAGTTCTCATTTAGCTTAGTGGGCAAGAAAATAAACAATAATGGGCTGGCCGAAAGGACTAAGCTTGACCAAAATTAACACCCACCAAGAGTAGTAAAGTCCAGATCCTCGCGCACATCGTCGCCCATAATTTCTTCGAAAGTCGGAAACCCGGCCTCCCACCCGACCGTATGATCTGAAGTTGGCCTATAGAATGAAATCACATGGGCGAGTAAATCTGAAATTGCAAACCAAGCATCAAATGCAGTCCTCGCATGGGAGGGCTTTAACCCGGGCTTCTTGATACCAATGTCACGGTCTGCAAAGAGAACAGGGCGACCGCCTATGCAAGCATGCATCTTGTCTAACGTCCACAAGCACCAAAAAAGGCCCGTTGAGGAATCCCCTGGTATTTGACCAGGACGGTCTAGATGCAGGCCGACCGTCTGAGCCTGGTGAATCGCCTGACAAAGATGCATGGAAGCGGCTTCTGCCCCTTCATGGCCCTCACAATGCAAGGACATCAGCGCTAAGGTGCGGATACGAGTAATTCGATCGGTTTCAAGCCCTTCATGGAGGGAGACTACAAGGCCTCTGTACAATTCAGAGCAGAACTGGCGTGGCGTCATGACAGGGCCACTTGTAGCCAGTCGAAGCCAAGGATAGGCTGTTCGGTCTTTCGCAGCAACAAGGCATATAGCCCTTTCTAGAAACACTGATGTCATTTCTTTAGAGTAGGCAGGCAAGAATGAATCCTTATCGACAAGTGGTAAAATATGATTGACCCTGGAGAAATAAATGGGAATCAAGTGATCTCGTGTCGGAAGAGGGAGACGCTCACAAGCTTTCAAGGCAGTTGCATACCGCTGGTGTAATAGTTTTGCAACAGATTGTGGACCGAGAGGTTCATATGGATTTCCTGGGGCAGCAGCAGCTGTTCCTCGGTCTTTTGCATTGCTGCAGGTAGCTGGTGAGCTGATCCAAAGTCCGATCCGGTCTCGAAGCTGACTTTGGCATGAAGCATCCAGTCTTTCCCGAATCACAGCTTCCGGATTAAGATCTCCCACAAAACGCTCCGTCTGGGGGAAGTCAGGAGAAATAGGGCGAAATTCCCTTGGATTGACCTGTATCCCAGTTGTCGGTGGATTAATTGATGAGTGTTTTGTGACGTCAGGTTCATTTTGATCGATCACACACGTAGGCTTATATTGGTCTTGGGGTTGGGCATTGTATGCACCTAAATGACGACAGCGTTTCTTTTTACATAATTAGTTGAACCCAGTTTCACCTTTTGATCGACTGGCCTCACATGCCGCAAAACCCATACAGACGCACCTTTCTTCTTTGGCAATGGGCACATGCCTCAAGGCTCTGGTGCGACGCCGCGACTGAGGTATGTCAGCAAGCCACGTCAGTTCCATTTCATTAGGTTATTGATATATATTGAAGATTTCAAATATGTAAATACAACGACTCCATGAAGTGGTATGTGGTGTGTTATGTAGAGTGATGATGATATGCAGAGTAGTAGCCATTGCGCTTTCATTCCGATGATTGGTTCGAAATGATTTTAGGTCAAAGTCTGTCTAGGTAGATAGTGGGCACCTCAGGCTGCGAGACTAGGTATCCAAAAGAGGTTAGTCACTATGCTTGGTCTGGGACGCAGTACTACTAGTGGTAACAACTACGGGACCGAATACTCAATCCAAATGCACACCAGACTCTATAATTACTACTCAATATGTGCGGAGAATCTACCGTAGTTCTCGTATTATCTGATCAATCCTACTAGCTACCAGTGCTACCCCAATTTTGATTAGGTAGGTTTCAAGAATATTCAGTCCGGTAGTAATGTATTTACTTTAAGGGTGTATCCAATTCCAATACTCCGTACTAGTAGTACATGTAATGTACGGAGTATTGTTGTCAAAATACTACCCGTGGACTAATTCAGCACTAGTTAGCTCTTTTACCACGTCGAGAATAGATTATCATCACGCGTCAGTACACGCGATCTTTGACGCGTTGCGTGCACATTGTTGGTTAAACCACTGGCAGTCCATCATACTCCAGCTCTATATCCTGCGAGCATGCAACGGTGTCTCATATTAAGTGAGTCTTTTGTCTGATTGATGTTACTGTTGTTGTAATCACCCTCTCCAATTATTATCGCTCGACTCCCTAGGCACAATTGTTCTCGTTTTTTCTCCCAAGGACGAGTCGATTCCCACACACACACACACACACACACACACAACATGTCCAGTCCAGGAGGCCAGAAGCGCAGTGCTAATCATTTGACTACCTCTCCCGTCGATGCGAAGAAGCCCAAGAAGGGTAGTATTACTTCCTTTTTCGGTCCTCCCAAGGCTAAAACTGTTGAACCTAAATCAACATCATCTCGCTCGTCCAGCTTTAATAAACAAGGATGGGTAACGTCGTTGACCTCGGAACAAAGGGAGCTCCTGCAGCTTGAGATCGACACATTGGATGAAAGTTGGCTGGCTCAGCTGAAAGAGGAATTGGTGGCACCCGAGTTTCTAGCGTTGAAACGTTTCCTCCAAAAGGAAAAGCAGTCGGGGGTCAAAATATTCCCCCCGGAGAACGAGATATACTCTTGGTACAGTGCCGGGATGGTCTCTTCAAGCGGTACAAGTATACTTACGCTGCTCTAGGTCTCGACATACACCCCTTCACAAGGTGAAGGTAGTGATTGTCGGACAAGATCCCTATCACAATCATAACCAGGCTCATGGCTTAGCATTCTCAGTCCGACCTCCGACTCCAGCCCCTCCCTCTCTAGTCAACATCTACACAGGTATCAAAAATGACTATCCCTCCTTTCAACGACCACCTAACAAAGGAGGGCTTCTGACACCATGGGCTGAGCGTGGAGTATTGCTTCTTAATACTTGTCTAACAGTTCGTGCACATCAAGCTGCTAGTCATTCAAACAAAGGATGGGAACGTTTTACACAGAAAGTAATTGACATTGTAGCCAGAGTGCGATCTCACGGAGTTGTCTTTCTTGCATGGGGTACACCGGCGGGGAAGCGTGTGGCAGGTATTAACCGACAGAAGCATTCTGTACTTCAATCAGTTCATCCTAGCCCACTCAGTGCATCCAGGGGCTTTGTGAGTATAAACAACTCATATCTTTTGTGTGGCATTAGCTCCACACTTCTCTCTGAGTACAACTGACGATGTTTTGTAATTAGTTCACCAATGGACATTTTAAAAAGTGCAACGAGTGGCTGGCTGAACGTTACGGTCCAGACGAGGTCATTGATTGGAGCCTGACTTCAGGAACAAAGACTACCAGCCCCCTCGGCACTATTCAAAGTCCTTCAGCCTCTGTTGACAAACTAGCATACTCTGGGGCAAAGCGATCTAAATCACAAGCCGCAGAGTTGGCTGACGTGGTCACACAGCCCTTGGAGCTCCAGGATACAGATGAGTTTGATGATGATACCGATGCTCTCGAAGCTCTAGCAGCCACAGAGACAGCAAGCTAAATATGCGGTCTAACTCGAACCATGCCAGCTTTGGCGTTTTTGTTCTGCCTATTGGGAATATGGTACAATTTAAGTGAGGTCATAATCAACGCTCTTCGGCATCGCTTGGGGTTGTTATGAATGAATGTATGTTGTTAGGTCTCGACATCCTAGATTCAAAATTTGCACCTTCAAGGCTCTCCCTTTCTTTCTCTTTGGCGTGCTATATAGCTCGGAGGCCTTATATCGTACACCTCAATCGTGAGGCAATCTTGCTACCTCCCCCAAAAATCCTGATTATCATTCTCTGAGGTAGTATCTGGGACCTGGAGAGACACTGGAATTTCAACGCAAATAACTAATATTGGTGAGCCCTGAACCTTTCTTTCTAATGCTCACCAGTCTTACTGGAAAGTACCCCTTGGCCATTAAGAATTAGCATGCAAGCTAAGCACAGTGAAATACAGCTCATCGGTTCTAGAATTTTAGTGGGCGGTGATAACTAGTAAATTTGGGAGTATTAGGTAGCCTAAAAAGCTGCTATACTCAGCTCGTACGGTATGGTAGTGCCTAGTATGGTGATTTACAGTCTCTGAAGCTAACGTTGAGGTCATGCGTTAGGGATGCAGAACTAACGAATTGCTTCCCCAGCTTTATCTAAGGGTAGATATGAGGTTCAAAGATATACCCAAATATTGTGCCAAGAAGACCTTTAAGCATGGTTGAGCTGCAAGCCCCGAAGAAGCTTGTGCGTAGGATGTAACAGCAAAGTACATAAGACGAAAGTAGCTGTAATTGCTCAAGTTGCTGGTAGAAGACAGGAACTCATGAATATGAATAAAACTATCAAGCCAAATGGAGTTTACAATTCATCATGCTCAGGCTTGTCATCGCCAGGAGCAGGGGTTTCAGTCTCGTCAGAGGCGGTCCTAGTCTCTGTGACATCACCACTCTCTTCTTCTTTCTTCGAATCAACTTCAAGAGCATCAACCTTATGCTTGCCATTCTCCTTGACAAAGTTCGCGAGATCCTCCACAGTGCGAGAGCCTTCATATTCAACAGGGGAGTCCTTACTGCCGGCAGGGTAGAGCTTAATGGTGGGGAAGCCTGTAATGGAGTCGGGGACATCGTTGGCTGTTGCGTCAATTTTGGCGATGGTAACTTCAGGGATATCCTTGTAAAGGCCTGCAAGTTCCTCATACTTCGGGGCAAGGCTACTCAAATTTGATTAGGTATTCCCAATAGAGAGCAGATAAAATTCGTGGAGGGGGAAGAACTTACGCTTTGCAGTGTCCGCACCATGGTGCATAAAATTCCAGAAGGACATCCTTGTCATTGTCAAGGACGAGATCCTTATATGAATGCGCCACAACAACAGTAACCGGGCCTTCCTGAGCCTCAGGAATAGCCTCCGACTTGATGCTTGGCTCGACTTTATCATCAAGAACGTCTTGGATGAATTTACCGATATCCTTGGCCTTCACTTCTTTCGATTGGTCGTAAGGATACTTGGCGTTCTTTTCAGGGTCTTGAATAGCGAATGCAGGGAACTTGGAGGGGTCAAGGTTGAGGTTGCCGGCGTGAGCGCCGTACAACTTGGCGTCAATGGTGACAATATTAATAGAACCCTTATGCTTCTCGGCGATGGACTTAAACTCCTCGGTGAACTTCTCACGCTCTTCTTTGGTTTCGGCGAAAATGTATGCTAGTGGAATGCCAGCCTTCACCAAACTCATGTCAGAAACTCATGATTATTCATAACATGTTGTGAAGCGAGATTGAGGTTGTGCTTTGTGACATACCGTTATATATCCAGAGTAAGTCTCTGGGCCCAGCTCACCCACCAAAGGAGTACTGGCAGTCTTAACCCAACTGAGAAGGGCATCCTGCTCAATCTCCCCATCATAGGTAGCCTTTTTCTCATCGAAGTCTTTGTAGAGAACAACCGAAGGTTGCTTAACACCCTCTGTCTTAGCGACAGATGCATCACTTGTGGCGGCGAAGAGATAATTGTCTCTTTGAGATTCGGCAAAGCTAGTGAATATTTCATTGGCAGCCTGGTCGTCAGACGCGATATAACCAATAACAACAATCTTGTCCATAGTCTTGATCTCTTCAAGATTTTCTGGGGTAACGGGGGACACAGCAGGGAGTGACTGCTTAACCATGTATGAAACAATCCTATGAAACTAGTGTCAATAATATTCGAGCAAGGCTGTCAAACAGGTGACACTTACGCCTCGGTCTGACGAGCTCCCTGATAAGGCTTAACAGAGTCAAGGCCACGGAAAATCTTAAGCGTGGGGTAGCCTTCGACACCTTGATCCCTACAAAGAGCCTCTTCCTCAGTGCAGTCCACTTTGACAAGCGGGATGTTCTTTTCCTTTAACTCAGTGGCGGCCTGCTCATATTTCGGAGCAAGAGCCTTACAGTGGCCACACCAGGGGGCAAAAAACTCAGCCAAAACTAAGTCATGCTCCTTGACGAAAGTCTCGAAAGTGTCCCCGGTGAGCGAGACCACATCGGAGGGAGCTTCGGTTGTCGCATCGGCAGCAGAAGCTACAGCAGAAGCGCCTAAGAGGCTCAAAATCCAAGGTGCGAACGACCGCATGGTATCGTGACGTTATCAAGTGCGATGATCTCCGAAGGTTAACGTGCTGTACTGTCTATGTGGACAACAGAGTATGAAGAATACTAGTAGTACCTTTGAAAGAAGACAGCAAGTGACGTCTACACTTCCTAATCTTCCTCGGGAAGAGGACAACGAATAGAGGGGTATTTTTAATTAATCAAGAGGCCAGGGGGGTTAAGAAGGAGAAAGATGGGAATGACTGGGAAGTGAATAGGCAAAGGCGAGTTAAGTAGTGAGCTTGGTATGGGAAGGAGTTAAGGACAGTTTGTTCTTTCTGTAGTCAGCTGGTGCCTGGGCAACATGACTGGTCTGCTGGGCCCGCCTCGTATGGACACACAGCAAGGGACTAGCTGTACTGCGTAAGAAGTTCAGGTACCACCCTAACTCCTACTAGCTTCGGGAAGCGCCCCATAGTGCAGCGGCACCTCAATAGTGGCCCGCTGGGCACTTGGGGGCGCCACTTCTGGGTATTCACCAATATCACCTAGCCTCGAGGGTCTCCCCCATAAATCCCCTAAACTTTACTTGGGTGTTTCTTTATTGTCATTAAAAATACGTAGAAGATTTCAGGTCATATTGGTTTGCTGCTGACTTATAAAGTAAGATACTAGCTAATTAACAAGTGAAACATAGAGTTATTGCTTTCTTATTCTGTATATGTCTAGTGTCCTACTAGTAGTAAGGGAAGGGAGTAAACTTACGGCCATTCCTCAACTGCTGATTTATGTAGTGAGTGGAATGCTTGGAAGTGGGGATATGCTTCAGCTTCAAGATGATCGCTCGGTGCACCCAGATGGCTCTCTAAAATTGATACATATATGTATGCACTGTAGTACTGTGTACATACTCAGGACTAGTTCAAACACTACCTTCTTGTAGTAAGGCAAATAATGTTTCTAGTCAAAGATTGCAACACTCGAATTTTGATAAAGAATTTGTAATCTTGAGATCTATTTTATTTTATCACCATGAATCTATATAGGCTGATAGTAAATATATATAAAATGAAATATATAATAATTATATTTATACGTTTTGTGTAAAAAAAGGTTAGAGATAAGATAATTCTTGTACTGGCGGTACATGAGCTATATTGGTGCGATCCAGAATGCTTAAACATACCAAGTTTGGTGCATTTTGGGCTTTGTTGCAATACTTTTGACACAGTATTTTGATAATGTTAACTTAGGTTTATAATGAAAGTGAAATAATCAACTTTTATGCTCATATCTTTTTCTACATACGCACCTCACATTTAAGTTGGGCCAATAACCAACTGCAGGATATATAGGCTGTACAGAGTAATAAGCAATAAGTAGACATGCAACATGCACTCGGATACAGATAGTTCTATCCTGTAATTTTGTCATGTTGATCAACTGTTGAAGATAAATTTATCATCTACTTTGCTGCCTTCCTTTCCCATGGACCATTGTATCTTACTAGTATGTTGTTTTCTGTTTCAACCCCAGTGCTCTATGCCTGTGTAATCCCTTTAATATCTCCCACCACCCACAATCTCCCAGTAAACAAAACGAAGTGAGACAAAGCAGACTTAAGTATCTGGATTTGTAATAACCAATACCGTACTCGTCGATCACAGTCCAAGGAAAAGCAGCGTTTAAGATCCTCTTCATATTAGATAGTTGCATCAAGGCTATGTGATCTTGTTTTTGATCTACAACCCAAGCAATGGTTTGTTTTCCGGAGAGGGGGAAGTGGATTGGATAAATACTACTACTTAGTGCCTATCTACCAGCATTTACCTAAGGCTCGATAGCTTCAATCTTTGCCCACTATTACCTAGCGGACTCCGTAGCTTCCATTCTGGTTTCCACGAACCATGTATAGCATATCCCAATTGTAGCGTACGAGTATACTCCGGAGTAATTATATCGTACATTGGCTCTGTATGAAATACTACACACCAAAGAACGTTTTGTGTTGATCCAATAACGAGTGTTTATAACACCGCTACCTCCAGCTTCTGCCCCATGCCTGTGGCAAAAGAAAACCCACTCGTCTGTACTCCTACAACATACTAATTACGTTACGGGACAACCTATGAATATGATCCTGTACTATTGTTGGCACTCTAAAACAGCAGGGAAATAAGTAAGAACGGAAACAACAGCACAATTCCCTTGTCTATTCGACCCGTATGACTCCGGTCATACTTAACCACATGCTGGTGTAGTACCGTGTAGGAAGGCAGCCGATTATAATCATCACTCACTCCGCGCTACAGCACTTTCACTATCGTTTCGACCGCACGGCACTGCTCCATAGATAGGCGCATTGAGTTTTTGGCTACTTTCCAATTCTGCTGACAATGCAAGAGCGTCCCTTTTTCCTCGGTCAACATCCACAAGGAGCATGAGCGGTAGTGGGAGCAGTATCAGAACGGCAAGAAAGACAAATGCAGGCCTAATCTCCCCATAGCGGTCTGTGACTATGCCAACGACAGCTGGGCCAAAGATGCTCGAGCCCTTGTCGGTGATAGCATACAGGGCGTAAAAGGCTGCCTCGTACCCAGGGGGTATCAGCTCCCCAAAAAAGCTTCGGCAATATGAAGATAGCCCACCCATAACCAGACCGT